AGACGACTCTGGAAGAAATGGTCCTACTGTGCAGGGGTCAAGGAACCCCATCCCATGGCGAGACGAAGCAGCTGGTGAATAAAGTGAGTGGAGGAAATGACGACAATACACCCGGCAGCACAGTACTTTGGACGCTGCAGGCATTGGACCTCCCCAGTAACTAAGGTAGGTAGGTATCTACTAGTAATACTGTCGGGTGCCTTTGGAAATTAGTCGGTAATATGCATGTACGTTCGTTCCTGCCAATCTCTACTCAACAGACGGGAGGAAGACCCTCCTGCTTGGACAATGTAGTCGGACTTTCCCAGCTGGGTAGGCATATTGAAGTGGAAGGCACCACCTGCACAATTGGGAAAGGCCGAGGAGGTTTCGATCGACCAGTGACGAGCGAGCAGCAGCAAATGGAAGTGCCAGGCGACTATCACTTCAATGTAGTGTGTCAATGCAGTGTGTGAGGACCTTGAGTGGCCTGTGGCGCTTCAGGCATGTCGCAGGATGGTATCGGCCCCTGGCCTTTGCCTGCTACAACAGGCAGGGCGCCGGCAGACGATGGGGCGGATCTCGGGTCGTCGGCGGCTCACCAGCCCTCTCTCTCCACATTCTGCACCCAAGGGGACGGATATCGGCCGCGGCTGGCAGGGGAGAGGGCCGCCCGAGACGGGCTGTCGAGAGCGATCATCATTATCAACCCAAGGCAATGAAATCGTGCATGCAAGACATGGATGCCAGATGCATCCACACCTGGCGGGAGCTACAGTAGCTTAGCTTACGTGGCTTGGGCGGGAGGCTTGCACGCTGTGGGCTGGCTGGTAATTACTAACGTTAGTGCTTGCCGTCTGTATTCCAGATAAGCTTCTTCCTGTATCAACACGTCATGTCTCTGACGAGTGTGGCCGATTTGACGCAGCCCTTGACGAAGAGGCACCCCATTGCTCGAGAATTGCCCTAGTCTTGGACAACTCGAAACCAGCGCACAGTCCACACGGGCAGGCCCATCTGCCCTCATCGTGCTCCAAAGCAATTGAACCTTGAAGCCCTGATCTGGCATCTGCAGGTCCCAGGCTTGGCAATGCTTAGCTGTCCTTGGCACTGTCGAACCCACACCATTGATCTTCAGGGGCTTGGCTTCAAACAGCTCCAGGTCTATCTTTCATGGGAAAAACAAGCATACACATATTAACCATTGGCTACATGTAAGTTTAATATCTTAATCACAAGCATGCTTTCACCGTCCCTACTCGTTGCAGGGCCCCTCCCTCCCTCCACCCCTTCCACTAGGAAATTGAAGCCCGCGAGTCGTCAGCTCCAATGCAATGAGGTGGACCGTCACCGACCGACCGTCAAATCCATCTACCCACTCCGGAGAGGCTCAGCCCAGACAACGTCATGCCTCGTGAAACACAGCAGCCGGCAACACGGAATTCCATGGTCCGGCCTCACGTTGCACGGGCACAATGGGTGTGGACCTCCCCCCGTTCTTGCGTCCCAGAGGCCAGGATTGTCAAACGCCGGCTGGTGATCGATTCCGTCTGAATGTATGGATTGGGTAGTGGCAGGCCTGGTCGCATGCACAATATGTCATGCCAGGCGCCCGACCGAGCGACTCTTTCCCCGGTCGCGTGGAGCCTCCACCCCCCATTCGACGATGGATGGAGCAAGGACGGAAGATTAACTGTCTGGAAGAGGAAATCGAGAGAACGCATATCGCGCTTCCAGAGACACGCTTGGTGGGTTGGCCCAGGAGCCGGACGTTGCATCAGAATCCCAAAACCTCTTCGGCGGCAAAGACAATTAGCGCTCGCTCTGGACACAGCGCTTTGGCATTGATCTTGGAAGCGTTATTTGAATACTACCAGTAAGTCTTACTAGACCTCTAAATCCATCCCATACTCCAGTCTCCATTCCCCAAGCAGGGGGGCCGCGCGGCATCAAAGTGAGCTGGGTTGGCCCTCTGTCCATCTCCCTCCATATCCTACGCACACATAGCACAGCACCCGATCAGACCACCAATACGCATAGGTGAGAAACCCCCGGAAACTCCATGCTGGTCTGGGGGAGGAAAAAAGCAGAGAGCCCTGCCACCACCCCCAACCATGGGTCGTGGCATTGTCGACTCCCTCGACTCATCCGCTACAAGGCCGGGCCAGTCGGGTCCAAGAAGGCCGTGGTAGCATCCACGATTGATAACCTACCCACCGTGCGCCACCGCCGTCTAAATGAACTTCATGGCTCATCCCCGAGGCAGTCGTGTGGAGCCGGGAGACTGAAACTTGCTTGGGGTCTGTTTAGCATACTATCACCGGCCCCGGTTTTGGCAGAGTCATGCTGCATCTGGCCTTGTAGCTATCCCCATCATACTACCCTGCCCATCCTTGCTGGAGGTGGGTGCGTCCCTTTTTTCATTCTCCGCCTATCCAATAGCTCATCTCTTCGTCTCTGCGGCGTGTTTTGTATCGCTCTGCGTCGTAGTACATTCGTAAAGTACCTCCCTTCCACGGTCGTGGGCTCGGGCACGCAGTAACAGACTAGGTGTAGACCCCCTCGTAACCTTGAGCCGTGGCTAGTTAAGCCTGCTCCATGTTGCGACGTAGTACATACGTACGTAACGCGCGGATGAACTGTAGGTGTGGTGTGAACCTACTTTGCGGATCTTTCTTGCTCGCCTTCCATGCTCTTATTTCCAGATAGGAGGTTGACTGTCCACTGAGCATCCTGACTTGTGGTAGGCAAGGTACTTACTTAGATATAGACCTCTCCGTCCGCTCCTTCCCCCTGAGCTCCTCCTACCTTTTCCTCTTCCCTTATCATCATCATCTTTGCCTCTGTCGCTTCCGTCGCCGTCATCGTTCTCTTTCTTCTGCCTGATCAGTTTAGCTGCCGACTTACAAACTTCTTCCCTGTGACACACCTGGTTTTTCAATTGGGCCCCTCTACTTGCTTGCTTGTTTCACTCTTCCTTTCTTGATACCCAGACATCATCGAAACCATGGTCCAGTCCACTCAGTACAAGTCTCGTCCAATCACGGATGTATTCACCAACGACACCGACATCGACCGTCGAACATGCAGCCGCAAGGTCCCCATGAAGGTCCTTATCCTCGGCCTCGGTCGTACCGGCACAGCCTGTGAGCACCCTCCCATTGTCTTCATCTCGAGAGCCAGACCTCAATTCCTTTCTATCAACTCCATGCTAACCGCACGGCCCACTCTCCAGCCATGCGCGCCGCCATGAAACAGCTCGGCTATGTGGACACCTACCATATGATGAACTGCTCCATCGAGAACCCCCCAGATGCCCTCATGTGGATGGACGCCCTGACTGCCAAGTATGACGGTAAAGGCAAGCCCTTCACCCGTGAGGACTGGGACAAGCTATTGGGCAATGCCCAGGCCGTTTGTGACTGGCCCGCTATCGCCTTCGCCAAGGAACTTATCGAAGCGTACCCAGAAGCCAAGGTCGTGCTCACCAACCGCGAGGTGCACTCCTGGCACGCGTCCACAATGAAGACGGTGTACTGGCGAGTCACCGATCCCGAGCTTCGTTGGTTGTCCAACTTCGATTGGGCTGCTAGCATGTACTATCCAATGCTCAAGAAGTTCTTCGACACTTTCTTCGAGGGCGACTTCCCCAACAAGGGCAAGGAGGTCTTCCAGAAACATTATGCTCAGGTCCGCAGCCTCGTTCCCAAGGATCGTCTCCTCGAGTACCGCGTTCAGGACGGCTGGGAGCCCCTGTGCAAGTTCCTTGACCAACCCATCCCCAAGGAATGCCCTTTCCCCAATGTCAACGACAACTCGGACTTTGTGACACGCTCGCGCCGCCGAAACAGAAACCAGATGTACAATTGCGCTCTGCGTTATCTCCTCAACACCGCCCTCTTCGTGGTTGCATTCATTTTCCTCTACCGGCTCGCCGCCAGCATGGGCCTTGTTAAATCCCGTGTTGCTTCATACACTCTAGACTTCTCTGCGATCCAGGCATTGTTGGATCAGCAATCTTAGATGGATTCTCATAATGCTTCAGGTACACTAGAGTAGACTTTTCGTTCATGGTTGACTTCTCGGAAGTGTCCGTGCCATCGGTCGGCGATTGATTTCCATCTGACCATCAATCTCGCCTGGAGCCAGGAGACTTTCTCGACAGATAATGGTTGCCTTTGATGGATATAAAAGGTGGTAATGGCGTTGGGGTGTTTTCTCTTTATGTTTCTTCTCTGAGATCCAGAGGCTCTTTCAGAAAGCCAAACTGTACAGAATTTTATCAAGGCGATGATGTGTTGAGGAATCAATATCAGTTTATTCAAGAATCTTCATAAGATCCTCAAAAAACTTTTGCTGTCGTCGTAGTTTGGTAGCCAGCCTCGAGAAAGTGAGATGATACGGTACAAAAATTATAAAGAAATAGCGTGAAGGGACCGTTGTACAAAGAATTCAACTGTAAACCCACAAACATGATCCTATATGTACCCACTATGGTGGTCACAATAAGAACAATGTGACAAGAAAGGGCCAGGGTACTCTCGCAGAGGTGAGGTCAAATAGCTAATCGGGGACCAGAAAACCGTGGATATGATAGGAGTTAGAACAATACCACCAACGGCGGTAACAAGAAGGCTGGAGCTCCCAGTGACAGGTGCCCCGTCTCCCGAGTTGGTCTTATTCTGTGCCATGCTACCTAACAATAGCACTGTTACGACAAGGTGAAGAAAACCCAAACTGCAAGATCAAACTGCAGCTGGTTCGAGAGATGGAAGCACGGTTCAAAGAAACCAATAATCAATATACACTCGGGCACAGTTCGTCAATCTTGTCATGGAAAATTACGTTCTTGAAGTCTCATATCCCGCAGTATCTATGCATCAGCCTTCGTCCTCCTCCGGCTTTGTTGCACAGATGCAAGTCGTACAGTTATACGGTCTAGAGTATCTCTTCTTTAACGTCTCTTTTTCATGGAGATCTTAGACGTTCTTGGTTCGTTGCAAGAACTTGTGCAGACTTGACTAACACAGATCTTTGCCTGCCTCCGTGCATACGATGCGATGCTGACAGTCGGCTCCTTTTGCGGGTTCGGTCGCAGCATGGCAGATATTCTTGCTCTCAAAGGCGGGGTAGATGATATCGAGGCCATACTTAAAGCCATGTCATACTCTGCCATCAGACACACAATCCTCTTCGTGGGGACCGGCCTCACCAGGACTCTTCCTGCTCCGAATCAATTCCACCTGCCGAAACAAAATCGCCATATGGGTTCCCAGCTTCTTTTCTCTACAACGCCATAGAGTTGTCTCTTTTTCATCTGTTGGCTCGCTTGTAAGCCAGTCTCCCATCTCTGAGGCCGCCGCCTGGACTGCAAGCGCGATATTGACCGGGGGACCGATCTCGACATGCACCGGCTCCTGGTCCGTCATTGTGGATTTCTGGTACGCCGCGTTCCCATGGTGGATGCTATAGAGAATCCATATGCCCCAAAAGGAAAAGTTACTCATTGCCAGCTCCATGAGCCTTGGTGTCTTTGCCGGAGCTTGTGGCATCAAACGGGCCATCGAGCTCACCAAGCTGAGAAGCCCACACTACACCAAAGATGCTGTCGGTATCTTTATATTACATGCGGAGGGTTTTATACCACCATGGCATGCATATTTATACCTATCTTCAGGCCATTATAACAGACCTGGATAAAGGGGTTGGGATCATCGAGGCGTACGGACAAAAACGAGTGGTGGCAGTGGGTAGATCGAAATGAAAGACGACTTCAGCGACGGCGTTTTTTTTTTCAATGCACACCATCGGCTGGGCAGCATTCAATCCCAACAATGGCACTAGAAGCAATCACGGCAGTAAACATGACGAGGATTCTGGCGAAGGCTCTGCCGAGGATGACAAGGGCATCCTACGGAGACACGCCGAGACACCCAACAATCAGAATACCAGATACGCAAAGATGTCTAGACTACACGACTTCAATGGGATCATAGCGTCTATAATACGGGATAACTATCGCAGGGATCATCAAGTGAACCACTTGAAGAGTATAATTGTCCAAACGAAGTTATATGTCGAGGAACATAGAGTAAAAACCCATGCGTCATGAACCAGCCTCATACGAATAAATGTAGGAGGGTAGGGCGGTTCAGATGAAATGAAAGGTTCTCCTCCCTGCATTCTTCATTTATCACTTTTCAGTCCAAATAGGAGTTTCACTCTCTATCAAAAATGGGAGAGAAATTGGCAGTGTTCGCAACTCATCCCCCATATAATTAAAATAATTAAACAGAAGTCTACAAGTATACAACCAAAGCCAAATTCAGTCCCCTGACAAATAAAACAACCCCCGTGCTATGTTGGCTGAATCAGTCCAAAACTCTTTGATTCAGACATATGGCCACATGTCCATCTGCCTGACTTAGACAACGCCACAGTGACATCTCATGTCCCGACGACCCGTGTCATGTCATTGTCTTGGTCGGGCGGCTCCGATGAAATCTGGGCTTGGCTGATTTGCCTCGGGCCGGGTCTGGACCAAACAAAGTCTCGGGGCGCCTCCGGAGATTGCGCAAAAGCAGAGTCATCGGATTGAGTTTGGATAGTACGTTTTGTAAGTCAGCAAGGCGAAAGGGAGGGGGCTTGGCCCGGTCTATCAATCATCACATATCTTTCCCAACCTACCTTAAGTCCGATAAGAAGGGGGGGCGTGTTATCCAAAAAATCGAAGATGAAAACGAAAGCACCAGAAGCACATATTCGATTGCGATAGTTTAGCTAGAAAAGGAACAAGAGAGGAATGGTGACGAGAAGCCCTTCAAGCTCGCGGCTTAAGTTCAAAGTTGCATGTCTTACAAATAACGCCGTTCCCGTTCGTAGTTCGGAACTCTAACTCTGAGCCACGAGAGCCACGAGCTCGTCGTGATCGGATCCGCGGGTTTGAGTTAACGCCGTCTTCGCTGGAATCCTCAGCAGAGTTTATTTCATTCCGCCCACGGAACGGAGCCGGCCGCTTGTACGTATTCTTATCTGAATAGATCGCAGGAAGATAGTTGGAGGAGGCGCATAGTCTAGCTTCGTGATGATCAATCAGGTCCAGCAAGCTACGGGCATAGAGTTTGGCCATCGACGTAGCCACCATATCTAAAATGTAGCTGGCCGCGTCTGGTTGGACCTCGTCTGGGGTCCGGGGAGGGGGTAATGGCTGTTGGCTTCCGAGACTCCTGAAGCCACCGCTAGCAGTAGCTTTGGGGATGCCTCTCTCACATGGCCATACTAACGTAGCCCGCATGCTTCACACGCTGCTGCTGCTACTGCTGCCGCTCCCCCAACCCAGCTACAAAGGTCACCAGACGCCCATTCTGGCAAAGGCCATGTCACTACGGGGCGCCTTAGTTCTCGGGGAGATGCACGCAGCTTCCCACGGGTGGCTAGGTTAGTGCCTCTACCGTAAGCGAGCGAGGATGGAGGTGGTGGGATGGGGGAGAGGGGAGAGGGGTTGGGCTGATGGCATCCATTCATTCAGCCAGAGGCCACTCTCGATTGAATTCTGACTTTACCGGTCGTCGCACTTCTGCAGCACTTGTGAGCCCCCGCTGAGGGGAAAGGCGTGAGGATGACGGTGATACCAACCTCGCTAGTCCAGCTCCCCAAGTGTCCCAGCCCGCATGAGCTTTCCCAGGAGGCGCGGCCCCCCGTGTGAGACGGTGTGCGTGTGTTTGAACGAGTCTAGCTGCATTACAACAATAGGAGTCCATTGAGCTGTATCTCCGTCGTCGTCACAGTCGCCGTCGCAGCCCGGCTTGGTGCAGAATCGTACATGTCGCATGCATGAACAATGGCGAGGGTTTTTTGCTATCCCCCCTCCACTGAGCCCTTCACCGCTCCTCAAGCCAGACGGCAAGGGAAAGGAAAGCCCATGGTCTCTGTGAGCTGATTCGACCACTATGCCATGTTCGGTCGCATCGCCAAAAGACCAGTGGCTAGCTGGCCAGCTTGGTGCCAGTAGGATCAGCGCAGGTGGCGGCGGAATGCTTATCCTGTGCATGCAATCATCAAGGCAACCCCTCACCTATCGCCCCAATCACCGTCGTGGACATGAGTCGTGGGTGATGGGGAAAAGCCCGGAAGCCCCTCACTGGCTGGTCCCTTATGCAAGCCATCGAATGTTACGGCCCATTGGGGGGAAAGGTGTGTGTGGAGGCCCGAGTGAAGGGGTCTGTGATGCGTCGTCACCGTCTTTGTCTGTGTCCACGAGAAGGGGAGACGAGAGAGAGAGAGGCATGTTCGCTCCCTCCGGTCAGATCATATCACGTCAATCACATAGCAGTGTGAACAAGGAGTTTGTGTGGGTGTGGTCCTCAAGTGAGGACCAATGCTCTTTGAGTCTCATTTTAGCTGCGCAAGGCTGTCGTCTCTGCGCTTCATCCTAGCTATGGGCACCCGAGCCCGTCAATGTCTAATCTCTTGTTGAAGCTTTTTGCTTCGAATAGGAAAGAGAGAAAAAGAAAGCTACAGTAATTCCCGTATTTTCACCCAAAAAAAAAACAAAGGCTTCCATTCTGTCACCCCAAAAAATGAATTTGAAGTACATGTAGACAGAAGGTGAAAAAAAAAACCACTCCCCAATGTCATAAGGGTGAGCGTGTTTGACAAAGACTTTCCCTGCCTGTCTCCCCTCTATTGGGGCAGAAGCAAACACCAGAAAGATTCCAACTCCAGCCTATTTCCGCAAATAATTAAGTATGTTTTTTGGCTTATCTTTTCACATCATAAAAAGTCCGTATCGTGTCCAAAGCGGAAACTCAGCAATCCGCCTCTTTTGCGCCGATTTTTCAATGCTCGCTTCGTAATATCAAGACAAATCCCGCGGTGCGTTGCTTGAATTTTGTCTCCTCGTAGGGAGAACTTGTCGCTCAAAATAATAAAAAATGAAAAATCTCAAAAGATTGTAATGGGTCATTTCAAAGAATGAAAAACTCCAGTGGTCCGAAAGGGTATCCCAGGGCCGGTCGTAGTGTAGTAGCGTTGATTGGAATGAAATAAAAATTTGCAAGTCGAAGCAGAAAAGGTCGTGTGCATCGAGACTGTCAAGCCTCGATCGATCTGCAAGTATCCACGGGGTCGGGAATAAAGGCATTAAAACGTGCTATGTGCAAAGAGTAGCCTGCCATCAAGGCACATGGTGGTGGTTGCTATGGCGTGTAATCAGAAGCAGCCCTGGAAGGCGGGCATGACGGGCACCTGATGATGAAAGACGCCAGAGTGTTGTACCAGTGGCACCTGTTGAACGTATTTGACAACGTCCCAAAGAGGGCAGTATGTCTTGGGAGGGGCGCATGGCGCCTGAATGTGGATGGGTTGCGGGCAGTGAATGGGCTGTGCCTGTTGTGGGATGGGCATGATGGGCCCGGTGTAGTGCTGGGGAACAAATTCCTGGCCTAGGTAGACCGGGTGATCCTTGGCAGCTTCCGGTTCGTAGGTGTACGGCGCACAGTCAGGTGAGACGCCTCTTTGTTCCCGGATGAAGTCCTCATCGAGGTCGTCAATGGTCGATCCGCTGGATGTCAATGAGCCTTCATCAGAAAAGGTCGAGACGGGAGACAGTGGTGAGCCATTGGCGTAGTCATCAACGATGGCATCCTCGGGAGGGGTAACGTATTGAGTGATGAGATGTTCGGGGGTAGCAGGGGGTGATGGAGGGGTGATGACGGTCGCCGCGGGGGAAACAGTCAACTTGGGGCAAGCCTTGATCCTTTCCCGGAGTTCTGGGAGTGTGATCCGGTTCTCGGGGTTGGGGTTGAAGATGCATCCCAAGATGTTGTTCAAGTCATCCGTCACAGGGAGAATGGTCTTGAGAAACTCCTGGGAGCGAGTGAATGCCCGGTAGGTCGAATCTTGGTAAGAAGCCTGTTTCCAAGGGTTTCGTCCGCAAGTCAGATTGGTAAGTACCACACCCAGGCTCCAAACATCGTTGGGGGCACACATGTAGTAGGGCCTCCTGGCTGATGGGTCCAAGCACTCTGTAGCTGTGTTAGTAAAGGCTGGGTACGGCGGTGGGGATGATTGCCGGAGGGGAGGGGAAGTATGCAAGTAAATACCTGGACTCATGTAGAAGGTTGATCCGCAGCCGTAATCTTCTGATCGGTCTTCTGATGTGGCCAATCCAAAGTCGGCCAGCTTGACGGTGTCACCACCATCGGTAACCAGGATGTTCTCCGGCTTAAGATCCCGGTGGTAGATTCCAAGGTTGTGGCAGTGTTCCACGGCATCCAGGATCTGGAGGAAGACCTTCTTGGCCAGTTCGTCGTTGCCGACGTACTGGCCACGCTCAGTAATGTTGAGAAACAGGTCACCCTCCGGGCAGTACTCCAGGATAACGTAGATGCATGCGGCATCGTCCACAATCTTGTGCATCGATACTACA